CTTCCTTGCTTCCTTGGTTTTCTTCCTTCCTTGCTTCTTTGCTTCCTTCCCTATTTCCTTCCTTGCTTTCTTTACTTTTGTTTCCGTTTATTTTTTATTTTTGTGTGTTTCACTCCTATATTTACACTATCTCCATGAATAGATCACATGTGGGCTAAGCGAAATGTTTCAAGCAGAAGAGACAACAGAGCTCGCTATTGAACACTTTCACCGATTGTTTTCCATGGCTGTTCTGAGACTGGGAACATGTGTTGATCTCCATCCACCAGAACCATCTGCAAAGGATAAAAAAGACAAGACAAAACATCCCAACATCAGTCCCCTTAGGTAAGATAGTAACCAGACAAACCATCCCCACAACAGCCCCCTCAGGTAAGATATTAACCAAGCATAACTTCCCCGCATCAGCCCCCTCAGATAAGATATTAACCACACAAAACATCCCCACATCAGCCCCCTCAGGTAAGATATTAACCAGGCAAAACATTCCCATATCATAACACTCGGGTAAGGTATGAACCGGAGAAACCATCCCCACACCATCCCCCTAAGGTAAAATATTAACGACCAGCTCGTCCCCTTTCCCCAGGTGAAATAGCGATATGAGAAAACAAACCGCAATGCTTCTCCCTTAGATCATAAATCTCAATCTTTTTTTCTATTTCTTTGAAGCACTGCGCTTGAATTAATCAAATCATTGCTGATACGATGCCAGTATGAAAAACTTCTGGAATTTATTGAAAAAGAAAACGTGTGGAAGTGCTTTAACGAGGAGAAAAAGTTTCCCGAGGGGGTGACCCTTCTTGCTCGGTGAGTACAGTCAGTATGTCTAGACACTGAGTTTGGATTGGTCGGGAATCATTTTAAAGATGTTGAGACACGATGTTATTAGGGACTTAAAGATTTGTAAAATCTACTATGGCGAAGTCAACTGAAACTGTAAACACTCTTTGTTTAGGGCACTGTTCAGTAAATGTTTTTCTTCATAGTAGCGACGCTAAAGAAAACCTGGTTTTTTTGTGTTTTTTTTTTTTCAGTGGTATTTGTGCTACGACACCGCAACACGTTGCAAAAGTAGCCACCACCTTACAGTCTTCATTCTGTAGCATGTACGATGCTCAGAGGATCGTTATTTCTGCTTTTTTCTCTGAGGTTAGATCAGACTACGTTCATGATGGACCTTGATCACACGGAGTCATGTTTATATCAATGAGAATAAACATCTTTGTTTAACCAGGCGTAACCTCATCCTGAGGGCTTAAATGCGAGGCCACGTGAGGGAAATTTATTGTTCTAATCAACATGGCTGCCGCAGCGTGATAAAGGTCCATTGTGGTGTGTGGTGTGTCACCGTATAGTTTGATTAGAAGGAGGATGGTGTTGTATGGTTTGGTGTGGTGGGGTGTGGTGTGATATGATGTGGTGCGGTGTGGTGTGGTGTGATGTGGTGTGGTGTGATATGATGTGGTGTGGTGCGATG